GGCATCCAAGTATCCTTCCCCTGTTAGTTGTGGAAGAAATTAGGGCAAGTTTTGTCCACTACCGTAATCGAAGTTAGCGCCTCGGATAAAATACTGTAACTGGCGAAAGTTCAATGATATATCTCTTGACCAGCCGCTAAGAACAATGGCTAAGTTAGGCCCTTCCATATTCACTATCCATAAGAAGATCACCCATCTATCTTCCAGAGATGACTGGAGAGTGAAAGGGAAAACAACTTTTTTCCAATCCCCAAATTATTGCTCAGAATATCAAAACATTCTGCTTTCGTATGAAAAATTTAACCAAGATCAGATTTTGACTTACTGATTTCTTTCAGTCACCTTGTGGGAACGAGACCTTGGCAGTCCCATCGGGTACCTCCTTCGCTTCATCATTTTTCATCTGGGAGATGCTCTTGGATGTTGCACTATCAATCATTCTTGTCGGCTTCCTTAACTACCAGGTTTAGCTATAACGTCGCTAATTTATGATCTCGACTCTATTCTTTACATTGCAGTTTGAAGCAGCCTTCCGAATGTCTTTCTATGGAGATGTGCAAGCAAGGAGGGATACGCAGCGGATGCAGGTACTAAGCCATCATCGCGTCCTATGTTATACATTTCTCTTTCAGATAGTTCGAGATCAAGCTGACTGGTTGTTGAATAACGTCATCCCAGCACATGCTGTCGAAAGTCTCAAAACGGACACTAAATACAGGTAAATTTAGTAATGAAAACCGTGATAATCTAGAAGGTTTTATGACAAAACATAAGTAAGCTAAAATTCTCTATGTAAACCTCATTGAAATAATCCGTATACCTGCGTGCTCTCGAAGCCCTATATTCCTGGTAACTATTTATAGAATATAATAGCCCAGATAAAGAGACCATCTAGATCAAGGGAGTATACGTAAAAAGGAAAACGAAATTTTGGCGTACACAAATTGAGTCGTTCAGAATGCAAATTAGAATCTCTAGTCAAGAAATTCAGGTGTGCTCTTTTTACTTATAAATTATGACTTCGTGCACTATCTTAACTAAATGTTAGTTCCCTCTCAGTTTTTAAAAAAGTCATTGAAAGGGCCTTAATTTATATAAATAAGGATCTTATTTCGTCCTGTATCATAGATGTGGTTATTACGTTTATACCTGCTGCT